CATAAAAGTCCTCCCGGAAGGCATTTATTTCCCGCGCGTACGTATGGCTGTTCGATACAGCCGGCTAATCGGTCGCCTAGCGATCATACATATACACAAGTCAACTCGGAGAAAGAGCCTACATTGAGCTAAAATCTCCATATAAACACCATCGAAGAAGAAGCTTCAAACAAGGTGAACAAAATCATTCCACCACCACACATACTAATATCAATAAATACAGAAAGAAACCCTTAATTATTTTTGCATTTCTCGACGTTTCAAGGTGTCCTGAGTCCAAAAATGTAAAAATCTTAGAGGGTCAGCTTTTGACCAATCGTCATACTTTCCTTCTTTTATATATAACAGCCGGGAAAGTAAAAAAGAAAATACACAAAAGAATTCAGAAGAGTTTATTATTGTAAACGAAATTGCTGTCTTGAAACAATTTTCTTTCAGTAAATTTCATATCAGAATAATTAAATTTTAATAATTTACTTGAAGCTTCCTGTCCTTTTAACGTTGTGTTTTTAAATCATATATTACATTGATAATTCAAAGACTTATCATACCCAATTTCTAGGTCAATATATAAATAATTTAAGCCATTTTTAGACCCATTTTTCAATCACTCTTAAAAACTGTCCCTGTTTGGGCCATAAACAATATACCCATGAATTGGGTTAAAAGAATAAAAATCGTTTAAGATGGTTCAGAATTAAGTGAAAATTTTCAACGCTTATGACATTAAAATTATGCTTAACATCATTATGTAATATAGGTCTCAGCTGTTGTGACATTTCTTCACTTCCACTTCATTCGTTCCTTTAAAACGTTTAAATTACGAAAATTACAATTTTTTGCAACCACGACCGTGGCACCATTATCCTTAATGCTAACGAGTTTACAGTAGACGCCCCCTATAACACTATTGATTTTTCCGTGTTATATGAATTCCATGTTGTACGAGTCACTTAGATTTTACAAATACGTGTGCCGGGTTGTGAACGGTTCACGTATTTGTAAAACCTAAGTGACTCGTACAACATGGAATTCATATAACACGAAAAAAATCAACAGTATTCTAGGGGGGACTACTGTATCTTATTTTACCAAAATAAATCCTATCGTTATACCGAGTAAACCTGCCTGAAAATATTTCTTTCGTTATAATATACAATTTTTCATTCTAATATTTGCATGATACGTTATAAACTTCACGTATCATGTCTAGATAATTCGGAGAAATGATAATCTATCGTCTTTAAGCCGCTGCCTTTCATAAATCATACTTCCTCAGTTAACACGCAAGACTTTTGGAATAAAGTTAGAACATGCTCCATCGATTTGTTAATATTTTAAGAAACACAATGAGGAAATGTACTCTAACAGAGAACACATCGTCATTCGCGTGTCTACAACTGTTCTAATGAGACGACGTTATGCATACAAACAAAAAAAAATGATAGAGTAAGCAAAACATGGTTTATGTTACAAAATGAATGCATTTTAAGTCGTAAACCAATATGGAATAACAATCAACATTAAAAAGGCAAGTAAACATAAGAGGGGAAAGCCAAATCACGCGATGTCACCAATGATTGATCATGCACTACGACTGGTTCGTGGCAGAATTAAATTCGAGTAAATTTAGAAGATTGTTATTTAGATCAAAGATTGCATTTCTAAAAGAAAATTTTATAAAATTAAGGAAGTTCTTTTATATTATTATTTAAATTAAATTTGGAAAATGTAGTAATTGAAAAAATACATATATATTTTTTCATTTTGATTCTTCTCTATGAGCACTGAGAGAGCCTTTTAATCTTATCCATTATAAGTTCGGACAGGCCCACAATGAAAGAGGCCAAGTGATAAAAGACATGTTTGAGACAAATCATCTCGAGAGATTCCTATGATTTTTCAACCTTTCGCATTCGATTCTGGGTTCTCCAGAGTTTCCCAAATATTTCAAATATGTTTTTAATGTATTTATTTATTTTAATTTATGTAGAAGAAAGGTTATAAAACATGAAATGTAATTTATTGTCTTATAGCATCTTTTCTTCAGTTGTTTTCCAGTTTTTAATATCATTTCTAACATAAAAATAACTGCTATTTCAGAATTATAACTGTAAGAAAGTAACTTTATACATTTTTATTCTTAAATAAACATTATTACAATATGAAATTTTTACTTTTAACTTACTGTATTTGGTAATTTATGAGTTATTTATTTTCATTATTGTTTCTATCAACTTAGTCTTATGTTTAAACCATATCCATTCGGATATCAACTACAATCACTTTTTTTTATAAAAGTACAATAAAGATGTGTAAATAAATGAAAGTAATGAGTAACTGTACTTAAACTTTCATCAAAAGTTATCGAATAATTGAATAAAATAAATTGTATTTTCTCACACAGAACACTCAGATGAATTCTATTCTACAGAATAAGAATAAGAAATACTAAATAATTCAATTTACAATTCAGTTAAATTTTTTAAATAAAATATTCATATAAAGATAGCTGAAATGTGTGAATTTATCAAAATTATTAGCATGAAATAAAAAAACAATTTTCTAAATTTAAATATATGTTAAAAGGATAATTTGAAGACGATTACATTTCATGAGCTTTAAATGATTTCGAGTTAAGTGTTTAGAACTTTAGAACTTCATTATAAATGCAAACTGTCTTCTTTACAAAGGTTAATTATCCTGTTCACAAAGGTTTAAAATTTTCTTTGTTGAAATAACAGTTAATTGTTTATATTTTAAAACTAAATTATAAATTTAATAGAACTTTTTAAATGTTTCTTGAAGATTTTCTTCTTGTTAACGTTTCAAATCCCTCATTAACAGAAATTCTTTAAGATTTCAGTAGATAAATGCATATAAAATCGAATGATTTATTTTTAATTTCTTAAGCCAATTAAATTACATGTTAAAAGGGAATTTTTTAACCAATATATTGATTAATCCTATTTATCGATGTGAAGATAAAGGAGTTAATAATCTTTCACTCTATTAACTTAATCCATATCTTTCGGAATTGTTAACCTCCATTTTGAGTTATATAACTAGATGAAATTTCAAGTGGATCCTTTCGACTACGTAATTCCTTAAATTTCATATCATTATTTTTTCATTTTAATGATAAAATATCTATTAATGTGTTAATAAATCTAAGAAATTCTTAAATTACCTATAAAGATGTGTTGTTTTATTTTAGATAATCTTAAAAAAATGATTTCATATACTGTAAATTTTTATGATTTCATTAACGATTAATGTTGAAATTTTTAAAATATTTTTATCTCTTCCTTTTATATTTTGCCTTTAACTAATGGGAAAATGAGATTAATAAAGTTTTCTCAATATATGGGTCAAGTAGTATAAATTCCGGGATATCGCGGATTATATCTCGAGTTTAATAATAGGATTATTATATTTCCTCAAACAATATATCCTTGAAAGAAAGTAACTGCAACACTGCAATATCATTTCGTTGCTATATAATTAGTTTTTCTTTTTATTATTATATAAACACGAACAAACACTTTTATTGCTTTTTAAGCATTTATAATATTATAATATGCATAAGGAAAATTAATATTAAAATAAAAATAAGTCAGTTCAATATTGTTTCGTTAGAATTACTTTAATGGATTCTATGATAACTATTTCAAAAAATGAAGTAATTGATTATTAATTAAAATATAGGGTTATTTTCTTAGTCCTGTTTTCCACAGGTGTAATAACACATACTCTACATAACAGTAGACTTTAGTAACATTTATATACCATACTTAAATACACACCCTGACAGCATATAAACATAATAAAACAGTTGCTTTTGCCCTATAATTTTAGTCCAGCATAACACTTGGCATAGGTATTAACACAATATAATAGATATTGATGCCAACATTATACTTATCTTAATTTAATTTTCTAACTACAAAAGCTTTTACTCAAAGTTTTATTATTTTATTTTATCATTTTAAATCTACAATTTTCTTTTATTATACTTATTTTATTGTTGACGTAATATTACTTTATGTAAGAGTCTCTTCATATGTTTTTTTTTTACCATTTTAGGAATTTTTACAATAGTCACGTTTTAATCATCTGTTACAACATTTTTACTCGTCTGACGAGCATTCTCGTATCATTTATTAAACCCAACCCGACAATCCAATCCACCTAATTTTTAAAATTCGTGTATACTCTGAAGGGATGATTAAACTTTCTTACGTATTGTATTATGTTATGAATAAATATACTTTAAAAAGCACAGTAATATTTAACTGAAGCTTGTTTTTAAAACTTTTTAATGTATTTAAATGATTAATTTCGTTGAGTTCAAGTCGACATCATCCATAATTACTAATGTTTTTGAATAGAATTGTTGACAATAACTTTCAAATAAACCTAATAAAATGATTTAGTATTATAACTTTTTAAGGATTCGGTGGTAATAATAGTTAACTCTATATATTCTCGTGACAAAGAGCTTATCCAGATTGTTTTCGTTTGACACAAGAGACTATTAGGATAAAATATGCAAGACTCTTCAGGTATAATCTATCAAACCTCAATAAGATTTGACTTTATCGAATATATTTTTATACTTTATTCACGTAAAGTTTTTCTAGAATTTATTGAAAATTTAATTAACTCCAAAGTCAATAACATCTTACATAAGGAAATAACATTTTTCGTATATCAGTAGACTATATTCTATAAGTGAGTAATTGATAAAAAGAATATAAATGGGTTAATGTCGCAGCAATCGAGTGACAATCATACAATTCATTATGCAGTATAATATATCACGAATATGAGACGAAAATATCTTGGCATATGAAAAAAATTTATGTTTTTCATGATAATGATGACTAGAAAAGCCACTTCCCATCAATCCTATTATTTTATCAATATTTTAATCCCATTGATAAATTGTATAATTAATTANATAATATTTCAATATATATATATACTTTTTTTTAAGCTCACTTATCCCTATACAAGGGAAGATCAGTAGTACGAGTTGATTGTAATGCCTGATCTTGGGCAATAATGTATGAATACTGATCGCGTATCCTCTTGAATGGAGAAGATACGTAACGTGGATGATATTTAGGTACGTAAACCGGTACATATTTATGAGGTTTCTTAACATATTCTTGCATGGGACTACGAGAATACACTTTAGTAGGTACGACGGCATGAGTTATAGGCACACTTTTAGAACTCTTCACCGTTTTAATGGCTTGGCTTCCACTATTTTCGGAGTACATGTGTACATCAGCGGGATCTTCTTTTGCTGTTCCGTGTTCATTAGTACGAACTATAGCTCTGAATCCGTTCTCGTCAGCGATGTAATCAACGTGTCTATATATTCCATAGCTGTCTGTATATCCGTATGATCCGATTTTAGTACCTTTCTCGTCGCTCTTCTCTTCTCGGTGTTGGCGATTGCCGTATTTATCATAAATCGAATAGCCAAAATCATAAGGCTGGCTTGGATATTTCTGAAAAATATTTTTAAATATTTTATGTCTAAAAATAATAAACGTAAAAATAACATAAAACACGTTTTAAATTAAGTAACCGCCCATCTTTTTTAAAATTGACCAATAGAAACCTGTTTAAAGATATTTTTTTAAACAACGAATAATCAGGTAGATATAAAGAGATTAACATTTTAAAAATAATTGTTTATTGTATTATTATTTATATTTTATAAATAAATAAATATTTAAAAAAACATACCGAAATAAAATAACATAATGAGGACAGATGAGAAAAAAATTGTTTAAAATGCCTCCCCGATGGCAAGGACAATACAAACAAGAACATTTTTTTCATATAATTCTCTTTGATTTTTATATAAAAATGATTTTTGATGTTTATCAGACGTATGAAATTTTAATATAACATATTTTTTTAAATATATTTTAAAAAATTAAATAATATAAAAATAGGTCAAATCGATAGATTCGTTATAAAAACGATAGAGAAATTTGTTTACCTGAAAATCAAGGCTGTGGCCGTTACATATTCCTAGGACAAAACACAAGAATAATAGTAATACCTGAAAATAAATAAATAAATTTAAATTTGCAATTGATGACAATTTAAAATATTATTATTATTTAAATATTTTAGTTGGTGAAATCATAAGGAATTTTAGAATCTGGAATATCTTATCTTAATTTCAAATGAACCTGTTTAATAAACATGAGGATTTTTTTTATTTAATCATGTTAAATCTAAACATTTATGTAACTTTTCCTTATATTTCTCATATGCGAATAAATAAATAATAGCATAAAATGCCTTTTTTTAACCTTATAATACTTAAATAAACATGCCAATACTAAACTAATTTTTAGTAATAGTTATATATTTATCTTATCTTATTATATAGATGATAATTATAAATTTTATACAGTTATTTACATTTTATATAGACCTGTATTATTTTATATACTTTTCATTACCTTATATATAGCCTATGTATTGTTCTTTATTATATTATTTAATAACCTTTGAATATTAATGTAATTAATTTATAAAATATACATATTAAAGAATACATTAGCAGAAAAATTATTTTCTTATTACTTCTTCATTTTGTAGTAGAATTGAGAATGTTTTTAATGAGAAAATACCATAAACTGAAGAAAATAAAAATAAAAATCTCTGTTAATTCATAACTTAAAAACTTGTTTTAAAACTTTTATGTAAGAAAAAACATTATGTTTTTTATACAAAAGAGAATGTTATGCTTTAATATAAGAGAAATTTGAAACTTTGCAAAGATAGATTTAATAATATGTCAACGTTGTACAAAAGTAATGACTCTAATTAAATATTAATCGGATTAAAAAGCACTTTTATAAATTCTTCTATATACAAAGTAAATTATTATTAATTATAACATAATTTATAAAGTATACTTTCTATTTTAAATTCAAATAACTGTGAAATAGTTCAACCTTTTTATATAAGTACATATAATACTTTTAATATTTCTTCACACAAATCTGTGTTGATTCAAAAGGTTATTTCAGGTCAGGCTATGAATTTTTCTTAATGTTTTAAAGATAAGAAATATATATATATATATATAAAGTAAATTAACTTCTTAAGGTTTTCAACCCAGAAGGACGTGTCTAATTTTTTTTAAGAATTTCTTTAAACTAGATTTTTATATAGATATGCCTACATATAATCTAGAGATGATGCCACATCAAATAATAAATCGTAGCTAAAAACAATTACGATCATCATTACGAGCAATTTAAACAGAGCAGATACCATAATATATATAACAACTTGGAGCTTTGTTATTTAGATGTATTCTATTATTTATTTCTCTTGACAGCTTTATGAGATATTTTATATCTTCATAAAATAAATTCCGAGATATTGTAAATATCTCGTTTCATTTCTGTCAATTTATGGTAATATTAAAACATCGTACTATTTTAACCATTGTTCATAAACATTAAAGATAGAAATAGTTTATTACCGCTTAAAATAAATATATAAAAATAGTTAGATAACAATTATAATAGATGTAATTATAATTAATACTTAAAAATAGAATATTCGCATTGTTTTTCTTTATTTCTGTTAATAGAAATGAATTTTTTTACACATGGGCGTCGATCCTTAAGGGACAGAGGAGACATATCCTTCCCAATTTTTATTTTTATTTTATATTATAATATAAAAATTGAAGTAGAAACGAGGCCTGTACACAACATATACATCTTAATTCGTATATCCATTCAAAACCCGACAATTTTCCTTTCACAACGTCGTTGCCCCTCCCTAATATGTATACAGGTAAACCTTGCGATGATTTTTACATACATTATTTTCAAGCCTAAACGTCGAGGTCAGTGGGGTCATTTGACCTTCTAGTTCTTATATCAGAGTTTCCTTCATCTCTAAATCCATTGTGTCCAGGGCTGGATAGACTTCTTACGGCCTTATGTTATAACATATAAAAGGCCTTCTCCACCATTAAGTAATGATAAAAGTTTAGTTTGTTTAGCTTGTGTTTAGGCTACAGGGAGTCTTCATCTAGGCCTCTCTTTCTATCTCAGACACCATTATTTTATGTAAAAATATGATGTAAAAGTAACATACTGTCTTTACTACTTTCCAATTTTATACTTAATTTATATTATTAATTTTATTCTTATATCTTTATGCCTTTCAGAGAAGATCATCCGCACGTTTTTGAATGGTTCAAGCCTCGTCTCATTACTCTTATGCCTTATTTATTTTACGAGTTTAATAAAATTATTGTTAAATTTAATTATATTAAAAATCTTTTAGTTATTACTAAATAAAATAATAACTTTATAAAGAATTTCAAGAATGAAAATTAAATGTGTAGACCTAATTCATTTCTGGTTTTGTTGGAAAGTAGTTTGGTCCATATCCATATTTTACATCAAAAATTAATAAATCTAAAGCATTTGCATCTAAGAGAGAAGTTTTTTCCCATTGGCTTTAAGATAATAGAAAATAAAAATAATATTCCAGCACGACTCTATTCACAATACAAAAATACTATTGTTATTGTCATGGCGGCAATAGTAACAAACTCGGTTAGCACAATGTGGACCACCCAGGCTGGAAGAAATCTTCGTTTTGATAAAATTAGAACAATAGTATCGCTAATTGAGAAAGATGATTCAACCAGTTCAAAAATTTATTCTAATAATACTAAAAATGGCTTATGTAAGATGTTATTAGACCCAAGAGAGCTCTTAATATGTTTTTCCTTTTTCCTTTTTTTTATTATGCATTACCAATATAATTATTATTCTTACGACCTATCATACATTACTCAATGTTACAGAAAGGAAATGAACTCTGTAATACATTATTTTACATCCTGACAGATAAGCCGTGAACATAATTTAATGCATAGTAGATTTTAAACCGAGTAATATATGAAAACTATTCACTATAAAAGGTGTGTTTTGGAGGTAACATAATGGCAATATCTCCGTAAAAAAAAATAAACTACTTACGTCAGTAATGGAAGTATAGTATTGTTCGCAGCGAATACATTTGTATGCTATGAATTAAGAACGAGTTAATATTCATAAGATGCAGCTAGAGAACAATAAAAAAAATTGACAATATCATACTCTAAGGCAAGTAACTTAATACACAATAGAAGATATTTGAACGTCAACAATGTAATCAATGAAGCGACAACTTGTATATAAATCATTAGCTTAGACATATTTACGAGTTTCAAAGAATATTATCAGATGAAAACAATAAAATTTGCCTCGTATAAAACTATATATTATTAACCATTATACAAAAGCGTTAAGATTAAATTGTTAAACATTAACGAATTAAGTATCTTACCTCCGACATCTTAAAAGGATTTATCCACATCAATCTATCATAAACATTATAAATATTAAAAAACTATTCAATAGATCATACTCCATTAGAAAGAGATAAACACTTGCTAAATAAAATGCATAAGTGTCAGAATATCTTTTTGTTTCGTATTAACATGGTATTTAAATGCTCTCAACGTAAGCTAAATGTGAGAAATGTTAAGTTTCCTTCTTTACAAGTGAAGGAGTTATACATAGACTAACTCGCTAGTGTTGTTTGGCATATGTGTGATACAGTAAATGAGGCTACTGACCCCATCAATGATTTATTATATATATATATATATAATTTTTTAATGCATTTATTTGAATTTCAATTAATAAAAAACCACTTTCGTAACTTTAATAATTATTATTTTACTTGAAGAAAAAATTACTATATTATAGTTTTTTTTTCTTTTTTTGTCTGTGTTAGTTTAAACGGCCGTGACATAAAACCAATATTATATATTTACTCTCATTAAAAATATGTAAAATATATTGAAATTATTATCAGATCAAGGTTAAAGTTTATCCATCGATAACGTAACAGTCACATGACCAAAAATTGGGTCATTTTTACCTCACTGTCAATTATAGTGCATAGGTAAGGAAAATGGGGCCAAAAGATTATTCATTTTTGACGCCTTTCATTTATTGAGGTTTCTTTTAATATAAATATATGTTTTTAATGAGAAAATACCATAAACTGAAGAAAATAAAAATAAAAATCTCTGTTAATTCATAACTTAAAAACTTGTTTTAAAACTTTTATGTAAGAAAAAACATTATGTTTTTTATACAAAAGAGAATGTTATGCTTTAATATAAGAGAAATTTGAAACTTTGCAAAGATAGATTTAATAATATGTCAACGTTGTACAAAAGTAATGACTCTAATTAAATATTAATCGGATTAAAAAGCACTTTTATAAATTCTTCTTTATAGAAAGTAAGTTAGTATTAATTATAACATAATTTATAAAGTATACTCAGTAATAAAAGATGAATACTTCTAGAAAATATCGCTAGATGGCATTACCATCATTTAGCTTGACAAAATGGCGCAACTACACGTGTAATAAATCAATAATAAAATGTATTTAAAATCAAAGGCCTTAATCTATAGTTTAGGGCCTGACATCGAAGCTTCGACCTTAACATTTTAAACTGCTGGTTACTAACTTGAAATCACATTTATACTATCGCGAAGTAGGCCTAATACATTCTAATTTTAAGGATTAAAATAAACCATAATACATATTTTTATGGCATGTTTCATGCTTAATTTTATAGGAAAATAAGTAATTTTACCCAAATTACAATCCCGAAAACAAATAACTTAAATTATTAATAATTAAATATGGGATCTTTTAACCAAATAATATTAAAACAAATTACATTATTGTAAAGGTATGAAGCTGTCACTTATGTGTATATATGAGCAGCGTAGGATTTACACTTACGCCCTAAGCTATAACATATAAGATATTCTGCTAATAATAAAAAATTTACAAGCCCTAAGGTATGTATAGATCCGGCTTTGAATGATTAGATATGAGTAAAATTATTATTATTATTATTATTTTTATATAAAATTAAAGAAATAAAANCCAGCAAAGCACAAATATCATTAACATTTAGGATTGATTCTATAAATAACTCAAATAAAATTAAGAAAAATAAAGGTAATAAAAGTAAAAATTCCTGATATGACATAAAAATAACTAAAGAATTTAATATATATTAAATTAATTAATTAATAAAGAAATATTCTGTATTTCTCGTCTAAATTGGGAAGATAATACATGCCAAGATGATTTGAACAATTAAATGACGTAACGTACGAACACTTTCGCATAAGTAATGAAGAACGGCAGATAAAATACCTTTCATATCAAAGGTATTATTTTAATTATCCATATCAACAGAGACGAAAACGTGATTATACAGTAGGTCAAACAATTGAAAAGAACCGTAATTTAAAATCACGTTTGGTTAAACCAAATGAAAGCATTTGAGGAATAACTGTCTATTGTAAATATGCAAACAATAGATACACTTACAATAATAATTGGGTTTTGGGTGTGAATATACACTGTCGGCGTTAAGCAAGGTTGGACCATCGTGACCCACGATATGGGGTGGCTTTCATTCATTATCTTGTCACTCTCACAATACACTAGATCTTATCGAGAGAGAGAGAGAGAGAGAGAGAGAAAAAAAAGCAGATTTCGTCTTTCGAATTTTATAAAAATACTACTTTAATTCCTGTTGTTTTCACCACTTTATTTAGGTGAAAACATCTCTCCAAATTTCTAAACAAATTATCAATTTTTTTTATAATTACAATCCGATAGATGGCGTTAAGGTAGTTTATGCAATTTTTATTTAAAAATAAAGCTAATATATAATTATAATAATAATATTGGAAAGTTTTAATGAAATATTAGTCAAAACTATTTTTTATTGTTTAATAAAAATATAATTATGAATATATTCAATTAAATTGAGCGTATTAATGATAGCTAATGTAGTGCTTCCATCTAGTGAGTGAGATTGAAAGTAATGATGAAAAACTAAATAAAACTTGCCTAAGGTGACTGTCTTCCGTTTGGTCTTTTTTTTACAGGGTTGGAGAAACCATATTTTAGGATTAACAAGAAAAGCCGCATACTTATCTGCATCTTAAATACAGTACGTCTGTTATTTACAATAGGATTACAAAAGCCACGTTTTAGGAATAGATAAGAGTAATTGTTAATAGAGACTCCATAAGCTGAGGCAGGTTTCTTTTGTTTCTTTTTTCTTTCTTTGTGTGGGCAGAAAGAGAACCTTTTATTGTGGGTTCGACCAGGCCCGCAATGGGGCTTGGCCGAATCCAAAATTATGTATTTTTCCCGGTTATGTCTGGTGAGAGGAACGGGCCTCCCCCATCACCGTGAAAAATTTCTGAGGTTTTCTACTACACGAATTCCCCAGTGCTGCAGACCCATGCCTTGACTATCCGGGTGTCAGATTATAGATAATTAAAATTCGGTAGTGAATACGCTTATTACTATACATATTAACATAGTATATTACTCACAAAAGTATAGGTACTTACTTTCCAAATTTGATATATTTTATTAAGCATAATTTGCATAATAATTAGGCCTATACATAATACTACATTTATATGACTATACAATTGTATTTAGAACAATATCGTTAATGGTGAGTTTTACTAATATACAAAAGATCTTCATAATTTGAGCAGTAAATAACTACTGATAGAATTTAGTTCTTTTTAAATTAATCCCATCCGGATTTCTTCGATTTTTTCTTATTATTATTATGTTTATTACTCGTTCCGGTTCTCCAACTACTCCTCCATGAAGAACGGCGCCCTTTTATTTGATTTGTTTTCGATTTTTTCTTAGGAGCTTGAGTGGGAGCTTGCCAATCTTCTTCGTCTTCATCATCGTCTTCCCAATCTTCTTCGTCATCCAGAACATATTCGGAAACGATATCGGCATCGGCTGGATTAGCATTTACTGTACCCGGTTCGTTGGTTTTAACCCATGCCCGAAAACCGTCAGGACCGGCTGTATATTCCACCTGACGATATATTCCATCTGCATCTGTATATCCGTAAACTCCTCTAACATTTCCTTCTCCATCCGATTCTTCTCTTCTAGTTTGTCTGTTACTGTCTTCATCTTTTATCTTGTATCCGTATCTATAGCGGTGGGCCTAGTCAAATGAACATTTTAATTAATTATCTTTGAATTTTAATCATTAATTTAAATTTGAAAATCCGAAGTATTTACCTGATCGTTATCCTTCTTCTTTGATTTCGGCCTAGCTGATACTGCTATAACGAATACGAGTAACAAAATAAAGACCTAAAAGTATAGTTTTAAAACATTTTTAAATGCTGTCTAGATTCTTAATTTTACTTTCTTAATCCATTTGCTTACCTTCATGTTCCTTACTGTAGATCTAGTTGTCGTTTGATACACAAGTAATGTCACCTCGTATATATATACAGTTAGTGGCTACCTAGACCTTTTGTTTTAATAATTTCTCGCCCCAATTTCTTTTAATTTTCTAAACAATTGATTAGTTTAGTTCGAATTCTTCATCTTTCAACTTGACACAATAGACATTTTTTTATGGGGGCAACTCGATAATAATTTCTAAAAACCTTCGTTCTTATTCCTTTTTATTCATTTGCAGTTTCCGTTATAATTCAAACAATGGAAGGAAATTTTAATTGTTTAGTAGTCCCTATTGATTTTTATTAACTATAAAGTCTATCTTCTCCATCAAGGAGAACGGCATTGTTTATCTTCCATCATTTCCGATAAGAAATCACTTTCGATAATGATAGATAACCTTGGAATTTACTTTTTAAAGATTTATAAAAAGGACTAAATCGATGCAAATTAGCCGGTTTTGAATGACATTTACACCAAAAAATAAGGTAGAAAACTAAGCAAAAATTTATAAAGAGTAATTTTTACTCGAAGGTTGAATAAAATTTCGTTCAGTCATTAAGTGTGTCGCATGGTTTAGTGACTTTCAAAGACAATTTTGCATTTCCCTTTCATTTCGTTTGACACTCTGACAGTTGTTACAATTGTTCGGCGGCTTTGGTAATTGCCATGACAGTGATGATTAGTTCCGAAGAGATTGTAGACATAGGACCGGTTGTTAACGAGTGACAACCGTTAATCCCTAATTTATTTTATTATTTTTTTAATCGAATTTCTTTAACACGATTACGCTCTAATTTTTTAAGAGAAAAAAATCATAAATCGAAAATACTTTGAAATGAATTTTTATGATAAAAATAACAGCGGGTGGATCTACTAACGGTACTTTGAACCGGGAAATTATAACGGCGAAAGTTGTAAAAAGAACTGCAGGTTGCTTGTCTTACTTTATTTTTTCATGTCTGGGTCATCAATAAAATCTTCCATTTTACTCTAAAATTCGCTCATATTTCTAGTTTTCAATTACATATTTTATTATACAAAAATTCCCGTATATAGAAAGTATATTATTACATAAATACGGTATAACGTTTAATATTTAAAAAAAAATATATATATATATGAAGAATTAAGTATCTTGTGTGAGAATTTTTCGATAATTAACAAAAATTGGGGTCGTATTAATTAGTTATTTTACCAAGATTTTACATAATTAGAAATATATTATGAAGGAAAGTGTTTAAAATTTGACAGCGGGTCATTTCATTAAAGAAATACCAGGTCAAAATTAACGGTATATATAACAGTTCTACACTGTTTCGTATTCATAAACAAAGATGAAGTCTCAGGTAAGATCGATTTATTTCAATAATAATAATAATAATAATAATAAATAGTACAGAGTTCTATAGGTTAGTGAAGAAGTTAACCTAATAGAAAGCTACTCGTATAACAAATTTGATAGTTATATTTATTACAGAAAATAATAGAACTGATGGGAAAATTGATGGAGGTTGTAAGGTTTATGATATTGATTATGTAATTAAAAAAGACGACGTATAATGGGATTAATTGATTTTAAGAATTAAATTAAATAATCAATCTTCTAGACACGATAACGGATGAAATGATTGTGATGATTGATTAATTTAATTAGTTTTGACAACTTAAATAGGATGTTTAAAATGTGAATTATTAATTTATTTTTTTTCTATAACCTTACGTAACTTTAAAATTGTTTTTTTTTTTTTCTTTTTTACAGGTAGCCATTTGCCTCTTGGCTAGTTTTGTAGTCGCATACACGTATCCGCCTCCCAAATATGACTATCCTCCACCTCCTAAGTATGATTATCCGGCGCCTCAGAAATATCCACCTCCAAAAGTAAGATTTACAATAAGACCTGTATGTCTGTCTGTATTTTTTTTTCCGACATTTATTTTATATTATGTAAGAAGTCGAGCATTTATGTACCGCCTACAGTAACAAATAACTTTCCCGCTGTTGTTTATTTGTAGCCCCAAGCTAACGTACTAGTTTTGTAATATTAAAATTATTATTTTAGGTAGAAAAGGCAAATCCGTACGAATTGAACTACGATTTCCTAACAGACGATGGAGCTTCCGTTTGGCAACAAGAAAATGGCAACGAAAAGGGTGAAAAATCAGGTTCCTACGGATATAAAGATGCTTACGGTGTTTACAGATACGTCGATTATTGGGCGGATGCTAACGGTTTTCGTGCCAAGATTAAAACTAACGAACCGGGTACCGATGATGCCGATCCAGCTGACGTAGATATAACTGCTTATCCTCCACCTAAATATACCGCTAAAGCTAAACCACCCAAAGCGAGTTACAAGTCACCGGAACCATCGTCTTATCCACCACCACCCCCTCCTAAAGAAACGTACAAACCTAAACCAAAACCACCTCAGTATAAAACAACTAAAGCTTCACCTCCACCTCCGAGTTACGAACCTCCATTGCAGAGTTACGAAATAGTTTATCCACCATCGAGTTACCCAGGTTATGGTTTATACTGAAACGTGTCCTTTCTATCTAAACCATTTACTAATTTAATCGTTTTTTAAACAAAAAAAAAATGCACAACTAGACGGGTTGCAGGTTAGCCTTTGTAAATAATTCTTATTCTTATTTTTATGCAATAAAATTTGTTGATAATTATCCCTTTTTTTTTTTTTAATTATTCGTGGATACAACTCCACACTCATTCGTATAATTATCACTTGAAAATGTTAGAAAAATGAACCGATTTCTAATTAATTTTGAATAAAATTCGTAGGTACTTTATGTTAAAGAATTACATAATTTTATAATCAAATATTTAGCCTATATGACTTAACGTTGAGTAAACATTGACGGATGTATTCATCATTTCGTAATGTTTTAATAACAAAAAAAAAAAAAAACGAAAGTTAATCATGAGAACTACATTTTAACCTCCTTTCACCCGATCAAAAAATTATGTAAGACGTTCTAAAGAATGAATTGTTTCTCTACTATCTTGTTAAGCATAAAGCCCGAGGCTGATACCTTATCTTCCACGTCCTACTTCTTCCCTTTTCCTCCCTAAAGCAAGAACAACACCCCGGGTCTTAAATAATTATTATACGCATATTACGTGGAAAAACCTGAGAAAACTTTAACTCGGATTTAATAAATAATAAACTAAAACGGAAATTCTAATAAACTAAGGTAATTGTATTTAGTTTTTTTTTTTTAAGTTTTTATTATTCCGGAACGTCATTTGTTCCAGCGAATTATTATTTCTTTTTTTTTTTTAGGTCATAAACGAAGGTAAATCGATTCAGATCGTGTTTCGTTCCTTCCCTTTCAGACCGGCTTATTATTAAAATGACATTTTGTGTGGTTGGATGGACACGTGGCCCTTCTAGCTCCGGGTTAATATTTCTCTGTAGACTCATAAAGGAATGGTTCAAATTTGATAGGCGTATTCTTAATGGATACCAAAGAGCATTTTCGTAAATTCGTTTCTTTAATAGTTGTAAGGCCGACACACGTGTGTTTTTAACACAGAAGTTTAATGTGTTCAGAAATGCTGAAAATGTATACAAATTTTTTTTAACTGTAAATTGATATTTCCTGTTTATTATAATAGGTGAAATATATAGAATTTTTTTTTTTACTAATAGAGANTGAGAACATAAAGAAGAATTAAGATAAAGTTACATAAAAATATGAATAAATTTAAAGATAAATATAAATTAAACTTTCTTTATAATAAAATTAATAACTGAACAAGACAAGAATTTAAATTATTAAATTTATATTCTACAGTTAAAGGAAGTTATTCATATAAATTCAAACTCACTTTTTCTCTTTCTTAATATTTTAAGCAAGTTAAAAATTAATGAATTAAATTGCACATTTATTAATTTACAACAAGTAAATTAATAAATAAAACATATTAAATTACCAAATAATTATAAATAATTATTGGAATGATGTTACAAATTTGTACTTTTTTTTAATGTCATTCTTTTTCTTAATTAACTTGTTAATTAACTTAATCGTATAAATCATTTTGTTCTTCTTTTATGTTGTTCTTTAATTGAATATTAATTAATGAAATAAGTATTTAAAAAATTCCAGAATGCTAATAAGTTTCTAATGTGTTGTGTGAATTAATTGTATATGTTATTAATTAATTTAAAAAAAGGGGGAAATTAAGGTTAAGTTTTCTACAGATCACAATGTTTAAAGTATTTAGTCGTGATGAGAATCTCGAGAAAGTGAGAACAGAGAAAAGATACTTACCCGTGTATCCATAATGTATAACTGTAATAGTGATACTATTCTCTTCTGTTCACCGCCCTTCTATGGGGGAGGTTTGTTGAAGATGACAACGAGGCCAGATAAAACGTCAATAATACTCGAATCCAGTCATGCAAGACGGTCAAATGACGAGCGAAAAACTCGAGAAATTGCTAGTAAACGCCCTACGGGAGAGAGTAGTGAAGCAGTGAGATCAGGTCATGCAAAAATTTGTAATAATCAATGACGTTCTCCGCGGCTATCTAGGTCGTCCTTGCTTTAGAACATGATGGACTTTCGCTTTTGTGTATTGGCAGAACGTTGGATAATCCCAGAAGTATATAAATGTTTAATTGGGCTACTTGTTAGAAGAATATCTAGGCTCGGTTATTGTAAAATAACGGGTTAAACTCCCTCTTTAAGAAAAAAAAGAAAAAATATTCTAGCATTTAGAATCACGCTTTATTATTTTTCTTTTTGAGAAACGTCGTGAGGTCGTGTAGTAGTTAAGATCGATTTAAACTGTATAAAAACTCCACAAATAATATGCATTTTGGGAATTTGAATGGATGTTTCGTACAAAAGATCTAGAACAGTATTGCTCTTATCGAGAACGGCATCTGTGCTCCGGATGTAAGGAGGACTCGGTAAATAAACAGCTTGTTTATTTTGAATAAGTTATATAGAAGAAACGAGGAAAAAAAGAAAACAATTTCAATCGGTCAAGACAATTTCACAGATTGTGACATCACAATTTTTCTTTTAATCTCTTCATGACTGCTCCAGTTCTTATAAAAATTCTCACCCTTAGGCATTGCAAAAAAATTCTTACAATTTGCAACAAATTGTTTTAGAGTATATATATGTGATAAAGATTTTTTGTTATATGTTTTGGCAATTGTTCAATGTAATTACTCTGTCAGCGGGGATTTTTAAATAGAACAGAAGAGTGAATAGAAAAATGGTAAGGCATACTCTCCTTTGGTTATACTTGTCTATCTCCTGCATAGAAAATGAAATTATGAAACAATTATAAATAACAATCAGTTTCTATATAGAACACCTTGTTAGTGGGTGTTATTTAGAAGACAGTTAAACTTCATTTTTAACTAAGAATGAAGTATTAATTGAATGAAAATTATGCAATTTTCTCAGTTATAGTCACGATATCCAGCAAACAAGATCTATATAAGAACTAATTATGAATATTTTTGTAAATTTACATAAATTATTTAGGGTACTCTTCATTTTTACTGTCTTTAGATGTAGACAATTCAATAGAATTAATAAAATAACATTTCACTTTATCTCTCTTGTGAAGAAAAACATTTACGTCTTTTCTGAGGATGGTGTCATCAAGCACAAGGGACAGTACCCTTGAAACAGACGTAATAAATGTATTAATAAAACGTCCTTTCATTTAGGTGAATGGATTTAGCATAAGTTATTAAACTTACGTTCTATCCTCTTCGACCTTGGATGTGGTCAGTAGAGCGAAAACGATGCAAATAATAAATCTTCTAATGGTATCCAGCAAAGCACAAATATCATTAACATTTAGGATTGATTCTATAAATAACTCAAATAAAATTAAGAAAAATAAAGGTAATAAAAGTAAAAATTCCTGATATGATATAAAAATAACTAAAGAATTTAATATATATTAAATTAAAGTGCTTTACCTACTATTAATATTTATCTTTATGCAAATATAAAACGAGTTCTAATCCCGTGCCCAGTGAATAGATAAAAATGTGCGTTTATTTAATCAATTAATGCATCATTAATTATGTATAAATTATTCTATTGTTATATATATAGAAGGGCAGCGACCTTTAGGAATGTTAATCGTGTTCATCACAATCTGTAAATAGTGTTTTTCCTAATAGGAAACTATTGTGGATAGAGTTATAAGCTTATGCTTTTCTCACGTTTGATTAATCACAATGGAATTTATAACGAGTTAAATTATAAAAATAGAGATTATTGTTTCACTAATGTCTTGTTAGGAAGCTCTAGATTAATGTCTAGATGTGGATAACAAAGGTTATATTTAGTTACTACATCTTGAACCTGAAGTATAAGATAAGAATATACACCTTTAATCTTTTATTATTAACGAATGTGGATTTTGTATAGATCTAAATATATATATATATATAAAGTCTATGTTAAATATAAATAAGTTTATATGCGCCTCTATAATTCGCCATTTTAATCTTTTAACGTTAAATTCTGTATAAACAATTATCACGAAGAAACTTGCGAATTTTGACTTCAGAAACATTATCTGCATCATTGCATCATAAAGAAACAATCTCAGGAAGAGAGAAATATAATTTGTTTCAAAATAGAACTTAATTATATAGCGGATGGAAGCAAAGTGAATCATTTATTTATCATTTACTTTTAAAGGAAGAACAACGAAGAATAAAGTCATATACTGTATTTTTTTTTAAATAAATTTACGTCATTATTTATTATTACTCGACCAATCGGAATAAAAAGAATTTTTTCGATAAAATTAGTAATCGATATTCTACGAATTCTATTAAAAGAACAACGACCCGGAAAAATTCTTGAATTTATTCCATTAATTAATTGTTAATTCAAATATCGTCCCCTATATTTAGTTCATAAAAACCATTGAATAATAACCTTTAAACCTATCTGAAAATCGATAATTATGTCTCACTCTTACTAGAATTCTGTGTGAAGTGATGTGAAACTAATTAATATGGATCGTTGACCTTTACACTTTATAGGTAGATTTTACTATATTATAAAACAAAAAAGAAAGATCTATCTGTCAATATATAACCTATATCTTATGTATATGATCTTATCTTAACATAAGGATCGCTTCCTACATAGACAAAACTCTTCCTCCTATAGTAAATTAAAGCTTCCGTAACATTGGCTACCTGTTAGAGGCCCACTAATAACAAACAGGTAGAAAGCAGGTGTACGATCTGTTTCGAAGGCAACAAATAATTTATTCGATACATTCTCTACATAAGTTATAAATAAATTAAAGTTTTTCCCCCCATTTTTTAAAGGCACGATTAACTGTTAAGATTTATACTTCAACTAGCCATGTAAATTATTAAGTGATTTTTTTACATATCTTTTATAATATAATATCAATTAAAAAAAGAATAGTTTTGCAAGCTTGCTATACTAAAATTAAATGTTCCTTTCTAGTTTTCGGATTAAAATTGTGTTTATTGAAGCGTTTCGGATATATAAAGACTTTCTTTTGTATGTCTGTAAGCCTATATATATAAATTTATGCAGTCTTTTTTTATCTAAATTCAGTACTACGAAGTGACAAGTTCGTGTTTTAAAGGAATTTAATAATCTTATCGTTATTTTAATTAAGAAAAAACCATTCGTATCATGAGAGAAGATGATTTATTCAAGAGCTGGATATCACTTGGAGTGTTAGATATTCTAAAAAGGTAAAACCGATCAATCAAACTGTACAGATAACGGACAATGTGTTAATGCATTTATAAAAAAAATGCATAATTCAATGATATAAATCCTCCTGGAATATTTTCTTATAAAAATTTACCGAAAACACGCGATCCATCAAAAAGACCTATTTAATTTTAAGCATAAGTTTCAAATATCTAGTCTTTAAAAGCGTTTATGAATTGTTAAAATCCGTCAAGTTACGAAGCCGAAAAATCGTTCCGAATTTCGAACCAATTCGATATATTATATATTAATAATATCAGGATAATGAGCAGCAATTTTTATTTATTTATTTATTCCTTTGAGAAAATTACAGAATTACCCTTGACAGGCGAATACTTTGATGTGAGGCAAAAGTACCGAAAAAAAAAAACAATTTATAATTTCGATTCTAAACCAGACACAATAAGGAAGTAAATATTTCGGTCAGTTCTATTACAGTTGGAAATTTTGGCAACTATTAGCTCGTCTCGCCCATTCCGAAATAATACTCGGATGCAATAAAGCGTAGAGTTTGACAGCTTCAATTATCTTCATTACACGATCACAATACAATCAGACGTCAACCATATCCACTTCTAAACGAAAAATTCGTTACTTATTTTTCTAATATACTTTCTTTTTTATTTTTAATATTTTTATTTTCTAACAGCTGCAGGTTGGCGACCTTTTCTTGTACTTTCTTATCTCTTTCATCGTATTATCATAACGAGTAGTTTTGGATGAGAGATAAATATGTAAATTCTACTTTTTTCAGATTAGAGTTGTTTTCTTTTTCAACAGTGTTACATTGTCGAGAAAAACTAAAATAACTCGAAAACAAGACGTTATTGTGAAAGTTAAAAGAGGTAGAAACACTAAACAGCTAGTAAATAGAATTAAATACGAGCCTTTTATTCTTGAAATCTGAAAACAATCTGTAAACAAAAAAAAAAAAGAAAAAAAGGAAAAAAATCAAATAAAATAATACCATTCGATAAAAATCGATGCGTGTAAAAACAATCATCATTTACTACTTATAATGTGATAATTAGTATAAAGTAGTATTGTTCCAATTCGTTAGACTAGGACATTGTTTAGGTCAATACATGTTTTGGCATCTATTGAACTCGTTTAGTGACTAGCAATTTACAATACTAAAAATGAGAATGAGTTCAACTACTACTATTAAATTAAACTATAAAATATTATTCGAGATGATTCGGTAATTCTAATTTCGATTTTCTAATAATTTATTCCGCCTTTTTTTTAATCTTATTATTATTCGCGCTTTAGTGTTATTTGTATTTTAAATTTTTATATATAAATAGATACAGCAATATACATGTCAGATACAATCTTTTCTGCTTGTTCAAGCGAGAAAAGCTCGGATATATACACANACTTCTTAAGGTTTTCAACCCAGAAGGACGTGTCTAATTTTTTTTAAGAATTTCTTTAAACTATATATATATATATATATAAAGTAAATTAACTTCTTAAGGTTTTCAACCCAGAAGGACGTGTCTAATTTTTTTTAAGAATTTCTTTAAACTAGATTTTTATATAGATATGCCTACATATAATCTAGAGATGATGCCACATCCAATAATAAATCGTAGCTAAAAACAATTACGATCATCATTACGAGCAATTTAAACAGAGCAGATACCATAATATATATAACAACTTGGAGCTTTGTTATTTAGATGTATTCTATTATTTATTTCTCTTGACAGCTTTATGAGATATTTTATATCTTCATAAAATAAATTCCGAGATATTGTAAATATCTCGTTTCATTTCTGTCAATTTATGGTAATATTAAAACATCGTACTATTTTAACCATTGTTCATAAACATTAAAGATAGAAATAGTTTATTACCGCTTAAAATAAATATATAAAAATAGTTAGATAACAATTATAATAGATGTAATTATAATTAATACTTAAAAATAGAATATTCGCATTGTTTTTCTTTATTTCTGTTAATAGAAATGAATTTTTTTACACATGGGCGTCGATCCTTAAGGGACAGAGGAGACATATCCTTCCCAATTTTTATTTTTATTTTATATTATAATATAAAAATTGAAGTAGAAACGAGGCCTGTACACAACATATACATCTTAATTCGTATATCCATTCAAAACCCGACAATTTTCCTTTCACAACGTCGTTGCCCCTCCCTAATATGTATACAGGTAAACCTTGCGATGATTTTTACATACATTATTTTCAAGCCTAAACGTCGAGGTCAGTGGGGTCATTTGACCTTCTAGTTCTTATATCAGAGTTTCCTTCATCTCTAAATCCATTGTGTCCAGGGCTGGATAGACTTCTTACGGCCTTATGTTATAACATATAAAAGGCCTTCTCCACCATTAAGTAATGATAAAAGTTTAGTTTGTTTAGCTTGTGTTTAGGCTACAGGGAGTCTTCATCTAGGCCTCTCTTTCTATCTCAGACACCATTATTTTATGTAAAAATATGATGTAAAAGTAACATACTGTCTTTACTACTTTCCAATTTTATACTTAATTTATATTATTAATTTTATTCTTATATCTTTATGCCTTTCAGAGAAGATCATCCGCACGTTTTTGAATGGTTCAAGCCTCGTCTCATTACTCTTATGCCTTATTTATTTTACGAGTTTAATAAAATTATTGTTAAATTTAATTATATTAAAAATCTTTTAGTTATTACTAAATAAAATAATAACTTTATAAAGAATTTCAAGAATGAAAATTAAATGTGTAGACCTAATTCATTTCTGGTTTTGTTGGAAAGTAGTTTGGTCCATATCCATATTTTACATCAAAAATTAATAAATCTAAAGCATTTGCATCTAAGAGAGAAGTTTTTTCCCATTGGCTTTAAGATAATAGAAAATAAAAATAATATTCCAGCACGACTCTATTCACAATACAAAAATACTATTGTTATTGTCATGGCGGCAATAGTAACAAACTCGGTTAGCACAATGTGGACCACCCAGGCTGGAAGAAATCTTCGTTTTGATAAAATTAGAACAATAGTATCGCTNTATTTATTCTTAATCTCTGTAAAATTATTCCTATTGGATTATTTTCTATAGAAGAGGGACAATCAAGGAGTAAAATAGTTTGTGAGGAAATGCCATCAAGATCATTAGACAAACAATATTTGGGTGTGGCTTGAATTCAGTTTCCTCCTCAAATATAGACATCAGCTCCTCCTTTCTTCTATCACCCATCTTCATAAAATTAAGCTGTGATATCAACCCTTCAACCGCAAGCGAAACCATAAGGCAGGGAGGAAAAAAATATATAATCTACCACAAGTGAATTTTAATTTCGATTTCTAATAAGTCCAACATATAANTCCGGAACGTCATTTGTTCCAGCGAATTATTATTTCTTTTTTTTTTTTAGGTCATAAACGAAGGTAAATCGATTCAGATCGTGTTTCGTTCCTTCCCTTTCAGACCGGCTTATTATTAAAATGACATTTTGTGTGGTTGGATGGACACGTGGCCCTTCTAGCTCCGGGTTAATATTTCTCTGTAGACTCATAAAGGAATGGTTCAAATTTGATAGGCGTATTCTTAATGGATACCAAAGAGCATTTTCGTAAATTCGTTTCTTTAATAGTTGTAAGGCCGACACACGTGTGTTTTTAACACAGAAGTTTAATGTGTTCAGAAATGCTGAAAATGTATACAAATTTTTTTTAACTGTAAATTGATATTTCCTGTTTATTATAATAGGTGAAATATATAGAATTTTTTTTTTTACTAATAGAGATTAGTAATTAAACGAAAGAAGTTTCGAGGGATTTAAGTATTTATTACCGCTTTAATATCTAATATTAATCAAAATTTGCTTAAGAAACAAGGAAGAAATAAGACTTTAATTATATATAAACTAATTAAATTTCCTTAATAACCAAGTCTTCGTTACTTAAAATATAGAAGTGATTACTGTAAATGATACAAATTTCATCTTCCAGGCAATATTAACGAATCTAATTCTAGAAAATCCGGTCGACTTAAGGTCAAAAAAAAAAAAAAGGTCATTCTTCAGCAGTGTTATTAAGAATATCATTAAATTAACCATTTAAAATTTTATGAAATTCTTTATTTTTAATGTTAATTTTAAATAAATATCAAAAAGGAAATAATTATATATACGTTCACAATTTTCCGTGATTTATANCGATTTTCTAATAATTTATTCCGCCTTTTTTTTAATCTTATTATTATTCGCGCTTTAGTGTTATTTGTATTTTAAATTTTTATATATAAATAGATACAGCAATATACATGTCAGATACAATCTTTTCTGCTTGTTCAAGCGAGAAAAGCTCGGATATATACACAGTATTTTATTATATTATTTTTTTTTTTTTTAATTCTTTCATTATTGATAGTCACAACATGTCAATGTGAAGATAACGTTATATCGTGACGTGAATGCATTTTCTTTCTTTCATTTTATTTATTTTTTTTTTTTTTATTTTCATCTTACCGTTTATAGAAAATAGAGTTTGTGACACGAATAATATTTTTAAATATAGCAAATAGGGCAGTTTATAACTATATAAATTTTCTCTCTTATCCCGAGAACTTAAAGAGTCAATTTTTAAGTGGAAAAGACGAGAAGAAACGTATGATATGTATCGAGTTTACAAAACGTAATGAGAGAAGTGATAAATGCCAGATTTGATCCGACAATAGATGAAGAATCAGTGCAGGAAAACATGCAAAGTAGGTTATAAAAGACGTGATGTTAAGACATCACGATGACAATATTCCATTGGCGAATATATCTGTAGACACACGGTCGCATTAACCTATATTCATTTGCTTTGTATCTCCGACGCATTTTGAATACGAATGATTTACTTTTCGACGTATTGTACGCCATATTTCATATTTAAAAAAAGAAAAGTCATTATAAAATAATATAATAATATCAACTTCTACCTTCAGGCTTCTTTATGAAAAGTAAACTATTCATAAAAAAAGTTAAATTTTATAGCCTATATTTTTTGAAAAATTAATTATTCTAGTTATAATATTCGTTTAAAAGATTATTTAATATTTTTATTTTCTAACAGCTGCAGGTTGGCGACCTTTTCTTGTACTTTCTTATCTCTTTCATCGTATTATCATAACGAGTAGTTTTGGATGAGAGATAAATATGTAAATTCTACTTTTTTCAGATTAGAGTTGTTTTCTTTTTCAACAGTGTTACATTGTCGAGAAAAACTAAAATAACTCGAAAACAAGACGTTATTGTGAAAGTTAAAAGAGGTAGAAACACTAAACAGCTAGTAAATAGAATTAAATACGAGCCTTTTATTCTTGAAATCTGAAAACAATCTGTAAACAAAAAAAAAAAAGAAAAAAAGGAAGAAAAAATTCCCTCCTCTTCTTTTTCTCATGAAGTATTCGCATTTTCAAATTTTCATTTTAGATAAAAATTTAAATATGAATTTCATCGTTATGACAATAAATTTTCTAAACAAATAAAGTGAAACATTGTAATATTACGAATATAAGAACACGTTCATTAAAAAAAAAGGAAACAAAGAAGATTTTTAAGAAAAAATTGCATCTCTGGATATTGATAATTAGAATTAAAATTAATTTTCTATTAAATTTTATATAGAATAAATTTTAATTTGTTCTCATTAAACATTTTAAGGAAATAAAATCTTTACTTAATAATTAGAACTTTAAAATCTTTTCCCCACTTCCTTATTATTATTATTATTATTTGTTTTGTAATTAATTACATTATTTATTATACTTACATAAAACATTTTTTTAATAGAAATAAATAATTTTTAATAATTAAAATCAAATATAATTTAAAAGGATCTTCATTTAGAATTTTATATTCTTGGATTTTTTTTTTATTTTCGGTTTTAATCAATCTTGAGATATTGAGACGTTAAAATACTAAAAATTGAAATGTTTACATTAAAAGTAATTAATATAAAAGACAGAATAAAAGGATATATTTAATATGAGAAATATGTTTGAAATTCTATAAAAAAAAAAAAAATTATTTATCATACTTAAAATATAGAACGGATGATGAGAAAAGGAACAGGAAAGTTTGTGCAGCTGTCGCTGTCACGTGACTGGCATGATGCAAAGAAAGCTTTGCAAAAGATTCAGGTCAGAACCATCATCTTGTGACAAATCGTCTTATTCTAAGGAACTATTTCGCAGATTTGATTCAACGTATTTTACTTTCTTTCTTTTTTTTTCTATATTGTACAGATTGCACATAAGTCTTTGATTGGACTGTCAGGCACTAATGTCACAGAAATACTCTATGACTTTACTAAACGCAAGATATACAGTTTTTGAAGCAAGAAAAGAAAACTTGATGTTTTTTCCCTTTCCGTTTACGTTTCTAGCAGTTTAAACAGATTTTTCGGAAAATAACTCAAATACTATATTTTTTTCCTCTACTGATAACACTTCTTCTATATATATATATATATTGAAAACATTATTTTATATATAAACACACTATCTTTTAATGTGTATTTAAATATATAAAACCTGCGAAAAAAAATATTAAAGAATATTTATTGTNTAATTTTTAAATTAATTAAAGTATTATTTATTTTTATATTTATTCTTAATCTCTGTAAAATTATTCCTATTGGATTATTTTCTATAGAAGAGGGACAATCAAGGAGTAAAATAGTTTGTGAGGAAATGCCATCAAGATCATTAGACAAACAATATTTGGGTGTGGCTTGAATTCAGTTTCCTCCTCAAATATAGACATCAGCTCCTCCTTTCTTCTATCACCCATCTTCATAAAATTAAGCTGTGATATCAACCCTTCAACCGCAAGCGAAACCATAAGGCAGGGAGGAAAAAAATATATAATCTACCACAAGTGAATTTTAATTTCGATTTCTAATAAGTCCAACATATAAAAAATAATATATATATTTTTTTTAATATCCTATTTCCTTGTTTGTTGACAACGTTTCTACATAATAGAATATTATGATCGATGATGATTATTAAAATTTCTTCCTTTGTTTTTACACAGAAGATTCAAAAAGGGTGTGTTTTAATGTTGAAGGAATCAATTAACTCTCCTCGTATATTATTAAAATTAATTAATTCATGAGTATTTAATTAATTTTTTATTTATTTTTTTAAAAATTCTAGTCACAAATTTCTTTAAATTTTAATTACTTTTTTAACGTATATTTGAATAATGTTATTTCTAGTTATTTTTAAAGTTATATAAAAATATACTGAACAATTTTTTATACGATAAAAATCATTAAGAATATATAATTAAAGATAATTTCAATCCTTAATTATATGTTTCATTCCAACGTTCAATTATAAATCTATTTATAATAATGTTCTAAATATTTACAACTGTTAGCGAAAAGAATAGAAAGAAGTGACTTTCTTGACTTCCTTCTTTCTATTTTATGACCTGAATAATTGTCAAACTTAGCCTATATGACAACCAAGATGCCACTACATTTGTTTCCTACACAAGACGGATCTGAAAATATACATTATAGTTTTTAATAGCAAATTTTATTATCTAATATATAAAATTTTACACATACATTTGCTAAAAACTTGTATAAAAATATATTAAATTGAACTAAGAAGAACTTGTATAAAAAAGAACTAAGAACAGGTATAAAAATATTAATTTGAACTAAGAACTAACCTGTATAAAAAACAACTAAAAACTAAGAACTTGTATAAAATATTAATTTTTTTTAAACAAATTTTTGATCCATAAAAAAGATATTTCAGCATTTAAAAGGATTATAAGTAAATTCGATAATTTATAAACACTTTCTTGTTATTATTCAACTAAGATTTATATTAAATCCATTTATTATCAGACTAAGTTGATAACCTTACCAGGATGACTATGATGAATCTGTATATATTTACAAGAGGCCGTTACAGGTTGGGCTTATCACTCATATATGAGTGATCTACGAGTATAGATATTGTTATTATAAAACACTTATTTACTAAGAAAAGTTTGAGAGTGAATAAAGTAATTTAGTATCAATTTACTAGTGATAAAACGTAAAGTTTTTCAATGACAAAGCGTGCTGAATCGCACGTCGTACAGTACCTTATAATAGATATAATTGAGATTATCCTGAGTTTAGTTTGTTGTGATTGATAGTTGAAAGGCGTAAACCGGAACGAATGATAACTGCGTGTATCATTTTATAATTATTTTATAGATATGGAGGGTGACAATTACATAACATCATCATAAATTATCGAGTATTACGTATGATAAAAGATTATTATAAAGCGCAGCAGCATTTTGGGGCTATTAATCATTCTCTATATACGATACGAATAATTTTTTTAAAAATTTTTGCTTAAAATCAACATTCAAATAAATAAATTTTGCATAATGTTACATGATTATACTTCAGGACGTGTAATTGATACGACGTTAGAATATTAACAAATGAATTATTTATATAATTATAATCTTGCTTATAATTATTTCATTAAAAGTGAAGTGATAGCATGGTCAAGGAAATGTATAAGATAAGATATAGAATTTTAACTGGTTAATAAAAACATTAAATGAATGCAGAGCACGGTCGTTTACTCCTTTCCTACACGTTCTCGAAAGATAGGAAAAAGATAATGTCTTATTAATTAATACAAATAAAAAAAGATACTGATAGAAAGTGACATTTACCAAAAAGTTATAGTTTATTTTTTTAACAAAAACTTGTCATTTTTCACCACGCATTCTGGTTAATTCATTGATACCTGTTTCAAAATACACATAATGAGAGATTTTAAAACTGATTAGCAGCATAACTTTATATAAAACACCCCCTTATATTGAACATCTGGATAGTAAACACGCATTAAAACGAATCAGTTGGTCAATACAACGTAAAAATGTTCCTCTTTCTCTGTAAAATCGCATTGATTTTCATGTTTAGAATGGTATATTCGTATTAATTATTCGAATATATTAATTAGATAAATAATTTAATTAGTATACTATTTGATAAAAATTTGTTTATATAGGTACTTAGTTTCGATGAATTTGATAATAAGGAAGAGGTAAAGTTATTTTCTGATATTCTTAATTTAATTTATAAATTAAATTTGCCATTAATCCTTGGGTATTTTTATATTATAAAAGAATGAAACGACTGATTATCCAGTTATAGAAGAATCCACTCGAGACAAGGTTAAGTTACTGGTTTATTTATTGTCAAAGCTTAAAAATAGTCTACTATTAAATTTATATTATTTTTTACAGATAAAACTATTTTTAAACGATCTTGAAGAAACAGAAGACGGAGATAAGATTATTCAGGGAGATATCGTTGTACCAAATAGTACCGATTTACATGATTTATTCAAAAAATCGACATCTAATGTCATAAGTTTATGGCCTTTTGGACAAATTTCGTATCGTTTCCATCACTGTAAAAATATTTAATTACACATTTTCTAATTCCTAATTAAGTTAACATTTAAAAAAAAAAAAAACATTAATTTCTTATTAAATTTTTACAGCTGTAAACAATGAAGTTAAGAATATAATTAGAGATGCTTTAAAAGAATGGGAAGAATATACATGCTTGAAATTTCATGAAAAAATCATAGATTGGTGGTATTTAAGATTTAGAACGGATAAAGCTGGGTAAGAAATAAAGAATTTACATTTATTATTTTAAAAATTTCTCTTCTAAAGAGGATCGAATAAGGAGTAAAATAGTTTTCGAGGAAAGTCAATAAGATCATTAGTAAGTTCATTATTCAGTTGGAAAACTTCATTAAATAATTAAAGTCTCATTTACTAGGTTTATAACATGAATAATTGCAATCATTTACAATTATTATATATCTTATTTTGTTAAAGAAAAATGTAGCTAAATAAAGCTTCTCATTACTAGATGCTGGTCCTTCATAGGTCATCCATTAATGCCATTTGAAGGGCAAGATGTTTCTATAGGACAAGGTTGTGCAACTGTAAGTCATTTTCTTATATAAAAAGGGATATATATATATATATAATATATGTACAATGCCTTTTTTACAGCTTGTGCCTCCTTTTATATAAAAAGTGTTAATATAAAGTGGCATGCAAAATTTATAGGCGGCTTTTTGCGTTTTTGCGGGAAATCGAACATATTTTTAGACTCATGTAAAAATTCTCTAATNTATATATATATATACACACCCATATTCACACTTAAAAACATAGTAATTTTATTATACAGAAAGGTATAGTAATTCACGAAGTTGGTCATGCAATTGGACTACATCACGAACAATCAAGATTAGATCGAGGAAATCACATTAAGATTTTATGGGAAAATATACCATTAAGTAAGCACTCGCAATTTCATCTGACTTTAGATTTTAATCATCAAGTAAAATACGATTTATCGTCCATTATGCATTATTCTACTATGGTAAGTAATTTGCTATTTGCATTAGCAATTTTTTATATTTTTACACGAGATATTCTACCAATAAGCTATACGTTTGATTAATAATTTAGGCATTTAGTAAGAAAGCATTCGAAAAAAATACTATTGTCAGTAGAAATCCTCATCTTCAGAGATTAATGGGTAGAAGTAATAGCTTAAGTTTCCGAGATGTAAAGCTTACAAATAAAGTATACATGTGTGACTGTAAGTTAAATATATATATATATTATATAATAATTTATTAAACTAATTGTGATTATTATTACCACTTTAAATCATTCATAAAGTTCTATTTATATAAATTGGAAACATTTATGAGATATACGATATGTTCTAAGACTTGAATGCTTTTTAAGATGCTTAGTCACGACTGTTGTTCTCTTTGCTGTGTTTTTACCTAAGAGTTTTCGGTGATGTACCATTTGTAAAGAAGTCGGAACAATTGGAATAACTCAAATTTCACTTTCCCAAAGAGGATAGCTATCTTTGTAAACGTTTTTCTAGATTGTAGATAAGATAAGGTGAAGGGAGAATCGGTTGGATGATCCCATACATTACTTATTGGTCTAATTGTTACAAGATTATTTAATTATTTTGGATGGTGTACCTAAAAGCCACGTCATCTACCTTCAGTTCTTTAGCCGTATATAATTAAAAGCGTGAGAATATGACTAGGAGATGTGCAATCCCAAGCATCCTCTAAACCAATAGCGCTTCTTTATGACCTTCACAACTATCCCTCCATTGGTCGTTAGAAGGAAGAAGGCGGAGTAGATAAAACTTTCTGGTTATAATACTCATGTAGGATAGTTTTGAGCAAAGTTAGTAGGGAATTTAGTCGGTAAAACATCAACAGAGTGTAAGTTGATCATAATCAAATACTTCCGTAAACTGTGGTGAGTTCATTAAATCTTATTTAATTTGTTAAAAATAATTATACGCGAGTAATTGTTTGTAATAGGGACATACTTTCATTTCATTATTTCCAGTTTCCTTTTCAGCTGTTTTCCCCCCTCGTATAGTTTAAATGTGTCCAATGAATAACCCCTACCCGCTGATAACTGTTTCAATAACGGAACATTAAAAAGGATGTTTAATTCTCCCATCAGCTTTCATCATCGTTTTAACAACAAGTACTTAAAGATCATTTTCCCGCAGATCGACTAAATCACGGAAATACAACTGGTTACAATTCGTTCAACTCATTCAAACCTCTAAAAGAATCACACACGCCATATCATTTACCTTAAATGCCACTAATTGAAACTCATGTACATCCGTAACATTCCACCAAAACCCAATTCTAAACTACTAAAATGCATCTCAGACATATTTTCTTCCTTACAGACAATGCAGACTAACAAATCTGAAATGAGAGGCAATTTTCATAGCATACAAGTCATGCTGGGACTACAACAACAGCAACAGCAGCAGCAACAACAACAACAGCAACAGCAGCAACAACAGCAAGCTGGTCACGCCGATTTATCTCAAAATGCTCTATCCAATACCTTATCGTTAAATTCGGTTCCACTTCCTACTAATTCTTTATGCAATGCACGGTTAACAAATCCTCAAACATCAGACTTGATAGGAAAAGAAGTGACTGGTAAGTTTCATACTCTTAAATATCCTATATTTTTATTAAATATAATTACGTCTGTATGTTATCTAGATTATAAAATATGTAAATTTTCCTTTTACATCAATTTTAATATAATATATTAAACTTCAACAACTTTTATATTCTAAATGTAGTCTGATTTATCATTCGATTTACAATCTCTACGGATATTTTGCTATCCCAATTCGTTATTAAAACTAAAACTTAACTTTAATTAGTGCAAGTTTATACTGTGTATGCATTAATTACTAAATACAGTACACGAGAAATTAATTAATAAAATATTCTCTTGTTATTTTATTAAGATAAAGTCATTTTAAATTCGATTCGAATTACAGAAAATCCAAAACAAAATGTGGAAAAATCACAAAATAATAGCAGCACCGATAAAACTGTAAAGAAAAAGAAAACAAGGTAATAAATTAGATTAAAAATAAAGATTCGAACTTTGTCAAATTCCCAAATTTAATTTAATTATTCCTTTTTTCTCTATACAGAACAACATTTACAGCATATCAATTGGATGAATTGGAAAGAGCTTTTCAGAGAGCGCCATATCCTGATGTTTTTGCAAGAGAGGAGCTTGCACTTCGTCTCAATTTAAGTGAATCTAGAGTACAAGTAAGTTTATTTTATACTTAAATTAACCTCTTTTATTATTATTAAATAATATTAGAAATATTTTCAAAAAAAATATATGATTTTTCTAACGGACAAATACTTAATTGCACGATAACTGCTATAAATAGTTCGTCTAGAGTCTTTCGTCATGACATCATTAGCATATGATTACTGCAAGACAGACAGAAATGATTTCTAATATCCTGTTATTCAGAAACCGTATTTGCTTTTTGTATTTCAATAATTCATACTTACTCTCTAATTGAACTTTCTCTGACCTATAAACTAATTTTTAAAGTTATAGAAAATAGCTTAAATGTTAAAATCGAATAAGACTCTAAATAGGTTAGATTAAAAAAAAAACAAACTGCATATTGATGATGATAATAATAATAAATAT